AAACCCTGCCTGCACTGTTTTTTCTACCCTAAATCGCACCTAGATCTAGTAGGAATTTTTCTCTAGTAAGACACCATTGTAAGACCATCCTAAAACTACTGAGGAAGTGGGTTATCTCCCCGTCTGACTTCGTTAGTTCAGACTGCCTTCTTTTTGTTGTTGTTTTTGTCTTTTTGAGACAGGGTCTCGCTATGCAGTTCAGGCTGGCCTTGAGCTCACTTTGTAGCCCAGGCTGGTCTTGAACCCTCAACAATTCTCCTGTTTCATCCTCCCGAGTGCTGGTTTTACAGCTGTGCGCCACCACGCCCGCCCGGCTCAAACCCCCTTCTTCAAGCACATCATAAAAAGGTAAATTTTGGCATCCTCTAGTGGTCAAAAGAGTCATTTTAATTCTCTCCATACAGAGAAAGAGCGTAATGTACATGCTAGTTTTGCTAAGATAATTTAAGCCTTTTAAAATCTGACCCTCATTCAGAAATACATTCTGCCTCGCAAGTGTATCCATTTGCGAGGCCCATTTGCTCTCAGATCCATCCCTTGTTCTGCGACTACAACCCAGGGGAGCCGATCCCAACGGGCTGGGATTTGTTTTTCCACTCCCGGGACTGAACCCAGGAGCTTGTGCGCGCTGGGCAAGCTACATCTCCAGCCTTTCAACAGGCTGCAGGTTGAGGCGCCTGTGGAGGACCACCTGGACGACTGTCCTTCAGGGAGGAGCAGTGCCTCCATTTTGGCCAAGCCTGACCCTATTGACATGTACAGAGCTGTAAGCAATGCATATGGGTCTAGCCAAGGTGCTGATGGTAGTCTTTGGAGATGGCAGACCTGGATCCCCCGTTGTTCCCACGAGTGAGCTGGGATGAAGCAGGATATGTGAGCCGGTGCTCCACACCACTGGCTGATCGAGCCTCGGGATAGAGAGTCTGACTTCTTGGGGCTTCAAACATCACACATCAGAGCTGAAGCACAGACCGGAGACATTAGACACTGCCTCAATTGTGTCATGCAGATTACTCTTTCTGCATATCCTTGTCTCTGCGTATTGAAGAGGTGAGTTCAGGCCTCCTACCTAGCCCAGCTCATGGCACTCACCTGCTTCCCGTGATTCTCACCGTCACTCATCCTCAAGCCACTCCCTTCTTCATGAACGAATAAAACCCAGGTTCGGCCTTGGGTGGAGGCCTTTGTTCCGGATGGCAATCATCATGGCTGGACTTAGGACCCCTGGGCTCCCCATAACTACGAACACGCCTCAGTGCCTCTGTTCTCGCCATGGGTTGCGCTGGAAGTGGTAGATTGGAATCAACTCTCTAGAACCCCAGTAACTTTTCCATGGGATTGCAAACATGACTTCCTGCGCCGTGACGAGGACCAGGAAGGGCTCATTATCGCTCTCTGTGCTTGTTGAACCGACACCCGGCTGATCCTGCCACAGTACTGCGGGTGGGGAGAGCAGAAACGCTTAGGTGAGTCTCCCCACCTTTCTTTGCTTGTTGTGTGTCTCTGACGGTGACTGAGCCTGCTCTCTGCTCACCAGCCGAAGCTGTCCCCCTGTAGCTTAGGTTTCTTGGACAGTCCCAGCTCTGGAACTCGGCAACTCTGTCCCACACTTCGCCCCTCGGTGGGAAGGCATCAGTGGTTTCTCTCACTGTTCATCTCCAGTTGCTTTGCTTTCTCTCTCCAGCACCTCAGCTCTCATCAGTTACGTGAGCAGTTTCCTGTATTAAATTCTATCTTAGTCCCATTTGACCCAACGATTCCTCTGCTGGGTCTCTTCCCAGAAGAATTAAAAGCATTGTACTATAGAGATACATGTGCATCCATGTTTATAGCAGCACAACTTGTCATAGCTAAATCTTGGAAACAACCCAAAATGCCCATCAACTGAGGAATGGATAAAGAAGATGTGCTCTTTTTATACAATGGAGTACTACGGAGTCATAAAGAAGGATAAACTGGACACTTTTATAGGTAAATGGATGCGAATAGAGACCATACTCATAAGTGAAAAAAAATCAGACTCACATGTATAAACATATTGTGTCCCTGGTGTGAGAAGCTAAAAGAGTAAATAGGATCCAAAATGTACAGTATATATTGTGAAATGGGAAGAAACTGCTTAAAAAGAAAGAGAAACTGGGATGTGGGAAAGAAGAACCAGGGAAAAGCCTACACACACACACACACACACACACACACACACACACACACACACACGAGATCGTTAAGATAGTTATACTACTTATTTCTCTCAATTCACTCAAAAGAAATGTTTGTGCTAATATTGTTTGGATAATTAAAAGCCGATATCTTGTACTCTGAGTAATTAATTTAAAGATAACGGTGTGCAGTGTATTAGCCATTGTTTATCTCCTATTAACTTGCTTTGAAATTTTGTTTTATTTTTTCTCTTTAAAATAAAATTTTTAAAAAATGATAAATTCTGTCTCTTAAAAAACACGCTGACAATGGTTGCTGTTTTCCTGCCACAAGAATATAGTTCACACAAGCATACAATGTGAAACTGCAGCAAACCCTTCGCTAATACTCATCACCTTATGGGCAACGATTCTGATGTCTCCTGTTGAGTTCTACTATGTGTTTAAAATGCCAGACACAGCACACGAAAGAGAGTTCACAACTCATTGATGGGTTACATCTCATGACTAAAAATTTGGGAAACACTGCCTTAGTGGCTATATTCAATTATTTTCTGAAATTCAGGATTACTGATTTATCAGTTATGAAAGTATGGTGTAAGCTTCATTTGTTATATATATGGATGTTTAATTATTTGGGGTTCATTTACTGAAAAGACTGTCCTTTTTCAACTGAATTGTGTTGCTCCTTTGTCAAGGATCAGTTGACCAGTTGACCATCGGTAGTATAAGAAATTCTTTTGTGCTACTTCACAGTAGGGTGACTTTGGATAGCAAATTTATTTTTAACTGATACATAAAACATAAAAGTCATACATATTCATGAGATACCATGTTATATTTGGACAAATGTCTACATGGTGTAATATAAAAAATCAGCTAGGTAGCAGGAATAAATTCTTGTGTGGACAATGTGGTGAATATAGATAACAATAAAGTAATGTGTTTTTGTTGTTGTTGTTGTTGTTGTTTCGTATTTTTGAGGCAGGGTCTTGCTGTGCAGTTCAGGCTGGCCTTGAGCTCACTTTGTAGCTCAGGTTGGTCTTGAACTTGTAATGATCCTCCTGCCTCAGCCTCCCAAGTGCTGGGATTACAGGCGTGGGCCACCACGCCTGGCACAATAAAGTAATGTTGATTCCAGAAAAGCTAGAAGACATTATTTTGAGTGTTTTCACCACAAAGAATTGTGTGTTTGAGGAGACAGATAACTTTAACCTGGTTTAAACATTATTCAGCATATACAGGTATCAAAAAATCACATGGCACATAAATAACATGTATAATTTTTATGTTTTTATACATTGGTAAAAAAATTAATTTGATTTTTGTTGTGTGTGTGTTATTGGGAATTGAACCTAGGGTCTTTTGCCAAGCATGCTCTGTGCCACTGACTACATCCTCATTTCTCTAGAATAACCTTAAATTAAAGAATAAACTTTAGAAGAATTTCAAGTACTCATCTTCTTGTGAGTTTATGTCTAGATACTTTATTTTGCTTCACTCATCTTATTATCTATTTTTCCTCAATTCTATACGTTCTTGGTTTCTGGAGCTTTAAATTAAGGATTGAAAGCAAATTTGTGAATGTTCCAAATTTTTAAAAGTTGTTTTGACTGTATAAGTTATAGTCACTTTTGGAACCAGCTTTCTAGTATTATGTCAGAGTCAGTTTTAGAACCAGCCTTGTAATATCTACAGAAAAGGCTAGAACTTTGATTGGGATTATGTTGATTGAGATTGCTTGGAGATTAGGAGAGAAGTGACAGCAGTACGGGGCTTTCTAACCCATGAACATTTTAAGTCATTGAAAGGAATCATTAGCCCCAAAATGATGAACTTCTGGTATCTGTTTTGTAACCTAATCATCCGAAACTACATAAAAACTTTGAGGACAGATGATTAAAAGCATGGAGGTGGAGAGTTCATTACAGAATGGCCTCTGCTATTTTTATGTTCAAAAAGCAGGAGAGTATACAGGCATTAAAAAAGAATCATGCCATTTGCAGGAAGATAGATGGACCTGGAGATCATTATGTTAAACCAAATAAGCCAGTCTCAGAAAAACAAGTACCACATGTTATCTCTCAAACGTGGAATCTAAGAGCAAAACCCAAACAAAACAACACACGAAAAACCCTGAAAGTCGAAAGGGGCTATTAGGGGAGGGGAAGATAATGGTGGAGGGGAGGGTAACTTTCTGTGGTACCACAGATTAAATTCCGGGCCTTCACAGAGCGAATTACACCCCAGCCCTTTTTTATATTTATTTTGAGACAGCGTCTTGCTAAGTCATCAAGTTGCCCAGCCTTGGCTTGAATTTGCAATCCTCCTGCCTCTGCCTCCCAGAGTGATGGAATTATAGGCATGCACTAGCAAGGCTGCAATTCCTGTTACCGCATGATCTTGAGCCAATTACTTAACGTCCTTTAACTTATTTCTTTATCTCTACAATGAGATGACAAGGGGTGTAGCTCGGTGGTAAAGTGTGTGCCTGGCATGTGCAGGACCCTAGGTTTGATCCTTAGCACAGAAAAAAATTTAGAAGAAAGTTACATGACTCTTCACATGTAACTGGATATACATTGTTATTTCCAATAAGTCTGCTTAGGGTCAACTGTCTCTTGCAACGCTCTCAAAATTACCATGTTATTTTATCTTATACGGAAAATACATTTGAACATTCAGATTGGAATCTATGAACCCTGAGATGTGATGAGCATGGGAATTATTTCTGTGAAAGCATTTGTAGTATTTGTTACTGCTTCTATAATAAAGGCTGATTAGATTGAGTTTAAAAACACTATTCCACCTGACCCCTGGATGTCAGTGCTTAATACTCACCAGGCATGCACATTCTCACAACCATTGTGTTAGTATAATAGACTAGTGAATTCTATTTGAGGCCAGGGATTCAATGGTCTCCTACAAACAAAGACAGATTGTTTCAAATTAGTGTCTGCGAAGGAGAAATGTTCAATTGTTAAATTAATTATGTGTGTTTTAATCAACTTGAGCATGTTGCTAAACAAGTCATCTCTCTGCACGTTTCTTTATACATTAGACAAACTGAATTTCTTGTATATATCTATATTTTTGAATTGCACTTGCAGCAAATGTTAGTTTTTAAAAACACATTTTGGAAAAAAAAATAAAAACACATTTTGGAGCTTTCAGAAAGCCATTGAAATGTTAGTGGTCTAAAAACCAAAAAGGTGTAACAGTCATTGCTTAATTGTTTTCTGGCCACTTCTTCAGCCGACACACTTGTAAAAGAACCTGAAAAGAAGTATACATAATACATACCCACCCACTGTATGATAGAATGTCTATTATGTACCTGGGGCTGTGTTGCATAAGAAATACAAAACTGAATAAGATGGAGGAGTTCATAGTATATTGAAGAGACAAAGATACCAAAATGTAATTTATATATGATGAATTAGGCACTATAATCAAGAAACTAAATTGTCAAGAAAATTTTGGAATGAATTTATAATCAGCATATACCCTAGCTATTTAAGAATAAGATCCAATATAGTTAAGTGAAATAAATCAGGTATATAAGCTTAAATATCACATGGTTTCTCATATAAAATATAAGTAAAAATAGAGCAAAATAAAAGATTATAAGAAGTAGGGAGATAGACTCTTCTCAAAGGAGGGAAGGGGATAAAGAGATGGAGGGGGAGGGAGGGGCGAGATAAGGGATGAAGCGAAGAAATTCAGATGTGTTCTGGACACGTACCAACTCCACACAAGGAGTATAAATGTTACGTGCTGCAAACATGTGAAGGAAAGAAAGGAAAGGGATCAAGAGATGGGTAGAGGAGAAAGGGAGGAGAGGGAAGGGGAAGAGAAAAGGAATTAAGGTGTGCTACGTACATGTACCAACTTCCCCCAGGGAATTTGAACATTATGCACTACACACACATATTCATTAAACTAAAATAAAAGAAAAAAGAGTAAGATATAAAACTTTAAGAGCTTAGGGCTGGGGCTGTAGTCAGTGGTAGGATACTTGTGTAGCTTGTGTTAATGCCTTGAGTTTGGTCCTTGTCACACACACAAAAAGAGATTTTAAGAACTTTAACAGTGGAGACAGACAAATGTAGAGGAAATTACCAAAAAGTATCCGAACTAAGCACGGGGGTGATGCAGGAAAGGCTTCCCGTGGATGAAAAGCAGCTGGGGGGGGGCAGCGGCAGGGGAGACAGGGTCTCACTGTGTAATCCAGGCCCGCCTTGAATTCACCCTGCAGCCCAGGCTGGCCTCAGACTTCCACCTTCATCCTCCAGCCTGCCAGGCGCTGGAATTACGGGTGCGCACCCCCACGCCCAGCTCAGAAAAGCAGTTCGCAAAGGTATAAAGATGAGGAGAACTGCAAATCATTTAGGGTGTCTGGGTTCCAGAGTGCACGCTGGAGAGCAGCACGAGAGGTGGCTGGGGTGAGGAGAGAACAGGTAATGAAGGGCTTCCTGCGCACGCCTAAGGGGCTGGACTTTATCCAAATGACTGAAGGGTTTTCAGCAGAGAATTATGTTTTTATAAATAATTTACATATGAGTATGTATATTTTATAACTTTATTGAAATCCAATTCATGTACCATGCAATTGCTCTGTATTCACTGAGATATTCTACCGTCACCACAATCAATTTTAGAACATTCCCTCGGTCCCGAAACAAACTGGACCCGTTAATGGTCACGCCCCAGCCCATGTTCAGCCACAGGCAACCACGAGTTTCTGTGGCTCTTTGGAGATGCTTATTCCGGATATGTCGTGTAAATGGCATTGTATGCTCTGGGCTTTTATGACTGGATTCGTTCACTTAATATGATATTTTCCAAGTTTATCCCTTTGTGGCACGTGTCCGTGTTTGTGTTAGACAGCTTTGCACTGCTGTGACAAAATACATGAAGTAAACAACTTAAAAGAAAGTTGTTTCCCTAAAAATGTATCTTGGTTCATATTTTCAGCAGTTTCAGTCCATGGTCTGCCAGCTCCATTGCCGTGGGCCTGCAGTGAAGGGAATAGCACGGTGGCAGGAGTATGTGCTGAGAAGGCTCGCGGTGTCCAGAGGCGGGGAGGGAGTGGCTCCACCATCTCTCAGTAGTCGAGTCAGTCACGAGCCCATTGTTAGGTTGAGCCATCCATGAGATCAAAGCCCCTAGGCTGACTTACACACTTCCCTAAGCCTCTCCTCCAGACACTGCTGAACTGAGGACCAACTCTTCTCGGAGATATTCAAGATCCAAGCCATGACATTACTGAATAATATTCCATTTATTTTAGTTTTATATTGTTGCTGTAACAACACAAACAAAAAAAGTTATTATCATACAGTTCTATAGGTCAGCAATCTGCTATTGGTCTTAGTAGGCTAAAATCAAGGGATGCATTCCTTCTGGAATCTGAAGAGTGTAGCTCATTTCCTTTACTTTCTCATTTTCTAAGTGTTGCCTGAATTCCTTGGCTAGTGGCTCCCTTCCTTTCAAAGCCAACAACAGGCTGAATGCTTCTCATATTGCATCACTTTGATTTTATCATCTTCTTCCAAAAGCCTTTGTGATGACATTGGTGCCGCATGGATAATCCAGAGTAATCTTCCTATTTTAGAGTAAACTCAGGCTGGGGATTTAGCTCACTGAAATACA